CCAACTTCTGTCCCACAGGCTCTGCTGCACTCTCAGGTTCATGCTTGGCTCTGTGTTGTTTTCCATCTTTTCCCACAGCCTTGCCCACTTCAGCTTTTCTGCACACCCACTGACATCACCTTACTTACTTCTGGCACACACTGTCTTTCCCACGGCTCTCACTGATGAGGGAGGCACAGTTTCATTTGGAGGGTGTTCTATCACCCTGGCTGCAAAGGCCTTTCCAGTGTCCTGGGCCACAAGCAGAATCCTTTACTGCTTCAGTTACTTTTGAAATCTATCTCCCTAATACTATATAAGGTCTAAGACTAAAGCCCACAGTCTTCTATCACAGTATTCCCAGTTGTTCCACGAATCCAGTGACTGACTCCATTGTCAAAGTCAAAATAAAGTCTAGAAGATGCGCTTACTCCCTGCTCCATAGCTTCTTATTGTTGAAATCATCATTTAGAAATATACCAGGTGCTTTTTGTCATACATTGTAAATTATGAGACAACTTGGGAGTCATTCATGAGGGACATCTAGTGGGTAGAAATCAGAAGGCAGCTAAACATTGTACAGTACAAAGAACTTTACAGCCTGACATGTTGATGGAACAGAGACTGAAAAGGTCTGCACAGGCAAATAAAATGACACTGTCTGGGATGGGCACAGACAGCAGTGTTTTGGAGCTCCCCGGGTCATTACAGTGTACATCCGTGTAAGTCAGGGAAACAAGATATTCATTCTGCAACCTCTGTATGCGATACAGATTTTATCCCTATGAGTCACCTGCTCATACACTCTACCCATTTTTCTATTCAATTTTTTTCTTCGTAGTCACTGCATACCATTTTCCATGTGGGTGTTTGTGGGTGTGTGTGTCTTAAGAAGACCTTCCTTACCCAGATGTAGAGATGGTCTTATGTGTTTCCTTCTAAACGTATCATCAGGGAGGTTATTTTATTATGCATGGTTTAAGCTATGAGACTAAATGTATCATCTCCTCTGATTAATCAATTGGCCTGGTTATTCAGTAGTTCTATTCCTGGGCTGGTGGATTTAGTTTCACTACCTGCCTCGGAAATGCAAGGACCCAGTTTGATCTCTGGAACCCCACAAAAAAAGAAATTGAGGATCAAAAGTTCTATTCCTTTTCCACATCTCAGTGCAGCATGGGCCAAGCTGTCCCATGTTGGTAGGTCTATTTCCAGGAACTCTATTCCATTGTCCTCTTTGTGTACTTTTTTTGCAATGAAACAGCTTTTTTGGGATTTGATTGATAGGGAGAAAATTGCACATACTCAAAATATATAATTTGATAATTTCTTAAAAACTATCATTTTTTTCAGCTTTAATTGAGTTTATTGGTACATTTTAGGAATACAGTACAGTTACATTCATTGTTGGGATCTTGTACCTCTACATGACAAGTCTTGGTTCTGTTTTTTTCCCCTTGTCCCTGCCCTCCCTTCAGCCCCTCCTCCCCTCCCCATCTACAACCACTTTATTTCCATCTTTTCATTATCTCACATTTTTTTCTTTTCCCTTTTCACCCTTCCCCTACCCGTCCCACCTTCCCTACACCTTTAGCTCCTTTCTTCCCATTTTTCAATGTCAGTAATTAAAAACTATCTTAACCATTTTAAGTATGCAGTTCCATAGAGTTACACTGCTGTGTAACCAGTCTCCAGACACTTCTAATGTTGCAAAACTGAGACTATTATCCATTAAAAGTCCTCATCTCACTGCACCCAGCCCTGACAAGCACCATGAGACTTTGTGCTTTGATCATTCCAGGTACTTCACACAAGTGGAATCACACAATATATGTGTTTTTGTGACTGGTTTATTTCACTTAGCTTGATGTGCTTGAGGTTCAGCCTTGTGGCACGTGACAGGGTTTCTTTCCACTTTGAGGATGAAGAATACGTGACTTATTCATTTCTCATTGAACATCTGAAATTATGCTGCTATAGATGTGGAAGTGCATCCATCTCTTCCAGGCAATAGTACACAGTATCTGAATAACCATAGCTTTTCAGAAAGTCTGATATAATAAAAGTGCCCCCGTAACTTTCATGTAACAACCTGGCTTGTCCATCGGTGCTGTTTTATGCTTCTAAGTGAGGTGAGATGTGTGCATCCAGCTTCATGAGAAACTGAGGTGATTACAAATGTGAGTTCCCCATAACCCTGATTCCTTTTTCCCAAACACACAGTCGGAGTAAATAGCCCAGTTATATGGCTGCTATTAGTCATCATTGTATGAGCAGGAGTGCTGCATACCACCTCCAGCCAGCCCATAAAATCCCCCATGAAAAGACTCAAACCTCCTTGGGCTCCCAGACAGATGTATACAAGCACTGAGCCCTCACCACGTACCTGCCAAGGACTTGTGGCTGCGGGATTGAAGGAGCCTGAGTCACAGGAACCTCACTTTGGACACAAAAGGAGTCAGAAATAGCACTATGTTGTGGTGAGTCACAGCTGTTTTACTGTTTATCAGAGCAAATAATGGTCCCTAAATGAGCTGAAACTCTTGTGGGGTTTTGGTTGGAACTGGAGTAAATGGAGGGGAATCGCTTAAATGATAACCCAGGCCCATTTTAATGATATACATAGTCTATATCTCTATTTACTGTCTTTTAAGAATTTAAATAAATATAATTTCCTCTCCCTTAGAGTCATATTTTTAAAAAGTTTCTCTGGAGCTAGGGATCTACCTCAGTGGTGGAGTACTTGCCCAGCAAGTATGAGACCACAGGCTCAATTCCCAGAGCTGAAATAATAAGATTGTCACTGATGTATAGGAATAGATAGAGTTTTCTTTGTAATTACTGAAGTATAATTTATTATTTTTTCTTTTTATTGAGTTTATTGGTACATTCTAGGTATACAGTACAGTTACTTTAATTATTGGGATCTTGTACCTCTACATGACAGGTCTTGGTTCTCATTTTCTCCCCTTGTCCCTACCCTCCCTTCACCCCCTCCTCCTGAAGTATAATTTATAAATTATACAGTTTAACTAATTTAAGGTCCGTGGTTTGAAGGGTTTTAGTAAATTTTATTAATTGTGGGACCATGACCACACCCCAGCTACAGAACCTGTTTATCACCCCCCAAATTCCCCAGTGACTTCATGTGGTCACTCTACACTCACTCTCACTGGAATCACAGCACTGTTTTGTCTTTGTGGTGCTCCCTTTTCTAGAAAATTCTTTTTTTTTTTTTTTTTTGGTACCGGGGATTGAACTTGGGTCCTTGCGCTTGCAAGGCAGGCCACCAAATTGCTGAGCTAAATCCCTGGCCCTAGAAAATTCTTAAAAATAGAGTCATGGCTCTTTATTCTTCTCTTGGATTTTGTACATAATCATGTTGACATTGAAAAGTTATATTTTCTGTTCTCCTTTTGCAGTTCTTTCACTTTAATTTCTTTCTCTTTCTATTCAGAAGTTTCTCTGAAATTTCCACATATATATTAACTGAAAAGCTGAAATTATTGAATGACTCAGGTAGACTCCAGAGAGCTTTAGTATTTATCAGCCCTCTCCTATCTTCAGCTTTTATATACAACACATAAGATAGACATTTATAAATGCAATCAGGGCCGGTTTACCTTAGCGATGGGCTTATTTTAGTTCATCATTTTTTCTTGTTCCAGCTCCATTTTGGGTTCAATTATATTTCTTCCCAAATTGTCTCCTTTGGAAAATACTTCATCTGAAACTGTCTTCATTTTGTCCTTGTTCTTAAGCAATGGTTTAGTAAATACTGGACTCAGCATTTGGCCATTAAATTCATCTCTTTGATGACATTTCTGTTTTTGTTTTCCCTCACTTTGTTTGCTCTTGTTGGAAAGTCTGTAGTCCATACGTCTAATTGTACATCTTGTATCATTAATTTGTTGGATTTCTCCTCTGGTTTCCTCAAACAATTTCTCTTTGTACCTGAAAGGTGGTACATTTGCATATATGACTATGTATGAATCTTTTATTTAGCCTAAAGAAGACTTACTAGCCTTTCTCAGTTTGAGGATTCATGTCTTCCAGTAATTCTGGAAAAACTTAAACCTCACTTCCATGATTGCCTTCTCACAGGCTATTTTGATTTTAGTGAAATTCCATGAAATATTCAGTGGGCCTTCTCATTTTATCTTCCCCGCCTCTCAAAAACTCTACCATTTTTATCTATTGATTTTTCATAATCTGTTTCAGGGTTCATAATTCTGCTCTAAGTTTGTAATAAAAGTTTCCTGACTCTCTCAGTGCCTGCATCCGTCCAGCTATGTAACCATAACACAGCATTTGATACTTTGGAGATCACATTTTTCATTGACATTGTCACTATCAAATGTCCCCAGGAAGGGGAAGCAAATTCTTCTCCAACAGACCCCTGAGTTAAGGTAATGCATGAGACTGTGCAGTTTTATTAGGTTAGCAATTTCTTCAACGTCCTCCCAACACAACATTAACTTCAATGTCCTGGGTCACTGGCTACATCCAGATCAGTGGTTCTCAGCAGGGACACGGTCACCCCTCAGAGGACATTTGGGAATGGGGTTTTTGCAGTTTGCAGAGCTAATGTCACTATTAGCCTGTAGTGCGAAGTGGTTGCAGATGCTACTAATATTCTCAATGCACAGCCCAGCCTCCCTGTTCCCAAACAACTCATTCCGAAAGTCCACAGTGCCAAGGTTTGGAAAGCTGGATCTGACCTCCAAGCTCTGAGAACGGGTATTTTCTGTGTGCACACAGGAGCCTATTTCCGCACTTGGAGCCACCCTGCATTTGGTCCCGGTCACTGATGTGCTCTGGCACACACTGGCCAGTGCACTTCCCTGCCTGTGGATTCCGGCAGCACATGGACAGGAAGTGTTGGGTGGAAGACGTCCAGAAATGAAACCCTTCAAGGAAGAAATGGAGTGACAGAACAGAGGAGGCCAGGACCTTGAGACACATGCTGAGAAATCAAAGGCAAAGATTTTATTTGCAGTCGGGAGGCGGTTGCCTCAGGATCCCAGCCAGGTGGTAATTGCCCCAAGCACCCTGCTCGGCCTTCCCACACCCCCAGCTCTCAGTTCAGATCTTTCCTTCAGGCACATCTGCCTCTGCCCTCAACTTGGGCTTGGTGAAGCTCATGGCCACAAAGCACAGGATGCCACTGAGGAGGGACAGAGTGGCAGTGATGATCCCTAGCGGGAACACATAGGAGAAGTGTTTCTTGGTCACAGCCTCTTTGTCCACAGTAAACTCTAATGGGAAATCAAGGGTGCTTTGGCCAGAAATGTCCATGGCGTAGTTCTAGCCAGAGCCAGAGCCACACAGCCAGAGTTGAGGAAATTAAGGAGGCCCAAACTTCTGTAATAGAGTTGCAGGAGTTCTGGGTAGGTGGGCTTCATCCTGCTGACCAGGAAGGCCACTGTGCTGAGAAACAGGGCCACTGGCTGTATAAAATTCACCAACACCATTAAGATCTTTCGCATACTCAAGCCCAACTGCTTGGGTCCACCTCCTGTGGATGCTGGCCACTACTAGCGCATCAGCCGTTGTGCCAGAGTTGTTTCACCTGGCATAATACTGAGCATCCCAAAGGCCAGTGAAGGCCACGGGAGCAACCTGGCTGTCAAATTCCCACACGTGCCAGGATATGCTGCTCACAAGGATGATACCCAAGACCTAGGCCACAGAACTAGACAGAAAGACACCTGGGGCGCAGATGTGTTGCTTCACTCTGGGAAAACTGCAGAGGAGGTCGAAGAAGCAGGAAGTCAAGGCAGGAACACCAAGGAAGGGTGAAAAGATAGAACATAAGACATGGTTAGAGAATGGTAAATATTGACAAGTTGTTTCCCATGTATGAAATTTGTATTTCAATGTTCTGCATACATGCTACTGTACAAAATATTTTACGTAAGAATAAAAAGAATCATAGCAGCTGTGTGTGGCAGAACACTTTTAATCCCAGCACTGTGGAGGCTGAGGCAGGAGGGTCTAGACTTCGAGGCAAGCTTGGGCTACATCGTCATTCACAGCCGCTCTCGGGTACATACTGACACCTTGTGTCAAAGAAAGAAAAGAAAGTAAATATGAAAAAGGGAAAGAGATGAAGGAAGGAAGAAGGAATGGAGGGACAGAGGAGAGATAGAACACTGAGAAGAAAGTGCAAGGGAAGGGAGAGGAGTGGCTGAGGGGAGGAGAGGAAAGAAGGAGGAAAGAAACCTAGGACTCCACGACAGCTGTAGGAGAATGAGTTTGTGGGTGATTCTGGAAGACAGTGTGGCCGAACCTTTCAAGAGCAGAAACGTTCATATGTCTTATCTATCAACTCCAACCTTGAGAATTCATACTAAAATAAGAGTTTGTACAAACATGCAGCAGTGTTCATTTCAGTGTCATTTGCAATAGAGAAAATTGGAAATAACGAAAACGTTTATGAATAGAGGGATGTTCGAGTAAATTATGGCATCTTCAAAGTGGTAGTGGAATATTACACGGCCATTACCAGGAGTGGATTAATCCACATGAAATGTAGGAAAAAACAAAACAAAACAAACATCCAAAATGCATAAAATGTAAAACCCCCCAAAATAATAAAAAGGTATGGTGTAAGCATTTGTATTAAAGGAAAAATATATCTGCTTTTTTATACATATACAATTGGATATGAATACAATTGGATATTTATTAAAAGTTGAAAAGATGCACGCAAAAGGAGTAATTCAAGGCAATCAGTTTGGTGGAGAGGAGCTTTTCATCCTTATCTACATATATCTCCACAGTTTGTTTCTTTACTTGCTTTTTGGTTGGTTTGTCTTACAGTGGTGCGGATTGAAACAAGGGCCTCAGTCATGCTGGGGAGCACTCTGCCACTGAGATAAAAGCTCGGCCGACCTGTAATGCTTTGTAATGAAAGCACACATACTTTATGATGAAAGGTTGAGTGAACGTGACCTCGTGGGTCTATACATGAAGTGTCACACACCACGCCCACCTACGTTTTTAACCCACTGCTTGCTTAAAACTCTACCTTTTCCTACTGGCTTTTTTTGGGTGCAACTTAAAACAATCCTGATGTATTTTATTTATATGCAGCAAATAACCTTCTGTGAAGCAAAACATACCCTTCTCATTTAAACTCAGTTATCTGTCTCCCCTGTCAATTCAAAGGCACGGAAGAGTTGGGATAATAACGAATTTACAGCTGGAGGGCCACCCCTGGTGTTGATTCCCAGGAGGGTGGTGGCAATGTCTGCCCAAGCATGTGGACAATGTGGGCTCTGCCGATGCAAAACATTCTAGTGGCCTCCAAAGTCTGTCTCAGTCCCGTGTGGTCTGCTGTCTCCAACCAGGCCCCACTGAGCCCCAGGCTTCCATGGAATGTGCTTTCTCATTTAGGGAAGGCAGCTGTCTACTGTGAAAGTTGCCTTGTGAGACAGGGGTACAAGTCATGGTCAGCTTTGAGAACTCGCTGTCCAGAGCACTTCCTCACCACAGGAGGTCTGAGGAAACGGACCACAGGATCAGGCAGCTTGGATGGAGAGAGGGCATCAGAAGGAGAATGCTATATTCAGCAGGAAAATGAGCTAGTTTGGGTGGATCTGGTGCTGTCTGTGTCTGAAACCAGTGAGACAGGGGATGTGTTTTTCTGAAAGGCCAAGTAAGGAACTACGTGTGACTTATATAAATATTTACCCATGGGTGTAGAGGGTCATTTTCCACAGCAGAGTGATGGAATGATCGATATTTGCAGAAGTGGGAATCATTCTTTAGGAAGAGAAACACATCCAACCAATGTGAACAGTGATGAATCACCTACAAGAAAAGAAGTACTGTAGGTGAAATGTGAGGTAGTGAACGAGGCCTACAGAATCCTTGGCTACCATAAAATATTCACTACAGCTTTACCCCATGTTTTGTATACAGTCAGCGCCTTGTGTCACTGCTGTGTGGATATTAATACATTGAAAGCTCAGGGTCCAGTGACAGATGTCACATTATGCTCCCCATGTTGCTGCTGAGGAAATAGAGCACAGAGAGGTACAGGGCATACGCAAGGTCAGTAAGTGACATAGACATAAATGGCAGTGCAGGCTCCAGAGCCCTCACACACAGTGCTTCCTGCCTCTCTTGATACTGATGAGATTTGTTCACGCCAAGAGAACCAGCAAGGGCTGGAGTGTAGAGCACTTGCCCAGGATGTACAAGGCCGAGGTCCCATCTGTCGTGCCACAAAAGAAGAGCGTCAACAAGCAGATGACTCCCATTCAACCAGAATGCCTGCCTATGACCTTTTCTGTGCCCTCTAGAAATGAAGCCTGAGTGATAGAAGCTGATGGGAAAAGAGAGCCCTTGGTTCCTTGCCCCATCTTGTCTTGAATAGAAACCTCTTAAAGGAAAATTCTTTCATTCATACCTATGAAAAAAAGAAACAACTTCTTTCGTTATCCTTCTTTCCTGTCCTCCTCCCACCACCCCGTCCATTTTTTATACAGGTTTGCAGTACCTGAGGTTTCCATTCCTTGTGCAGACTCGGTTCGTGCACATAAAAGACCTCTTAATTCAGTTACCATCCCCTTTCCCTCCTCTCCCTCACCCTCCCTCCATCTCTTTTTTAAAAGTATTTTTATTGGTACATTTAAAATTCACAGTACAGTTACATTCATCACTGGGGTGTTGGACCTTTACGTGACAGCTCTTGGTTCTTCTCCCTCCATGCCTTGATCCCCTCTGCCTGGAGAAAGCTCTGGGATTTGCTAAGTGGCTCCTTGCCTCCTTCCTGAGAATGCTCACTTGCTTCCCTTCCTGCCCGCTTCTTTGCACGCCACCCATATCCCAGAGTGGGGTGAGTCCCCCCCCGTCACACCCCCTCCATCCTGTCTGCATCTCCCGTGAAACCTTTGATCTCAGCATGTGGGTTGCACTGTGGCCCCCGAAGAGACAGATCGGAGTCACAGCTCCAGACCTCTAGAATCAGACTGTGCTTAGAGACAGGGTCTTCACAGAGGTCATCATGCTTCAGGGAGGTGTCGAGGGGCTCCTGACCCCTCTGTTCCCACGACACCTTTTCTCCTTGTGGTCTCTCTATTTTTGTTTCTTGCCCTGCTTCATGGATCTGTCTCTCTGGCGCTTTTCCTGTTGATCTCTGTTGATTGTATGGTCTCCATTTCTCGCTATCAGCTGTGCCATCCACTCTGGCCGGACCCTCACGTTCTGAGAATGAGACGAGGCTTTGGCAGGTGGGTTCCCCGCCTACACTGGGCACTGCAGCTACCTGTGCCGGCCTGGAACAGGGCCGGCAGACAGCTGCCAGGTCTGCACTCTCTCCGTCTTGCCTGGCTCCCTAAGAGGCCTGGAGGTCCAGCCACGCTCTTCCTCTGGCCCCCAGGGCCTGGAACATGTGAGTCTGTGCGAGTGACTTTGCCCTCCACGCTGACCCTTTCCTTCCTGTCCCATCCCCGGCTCCTTACATTTATTTCCTCTAGGCCGATCCAACAGCTGTTACAAAACAACTGGGGGCTGGGTGGCTTCTCATTCCCAGCCCCGCCTTGTGCGGCAAGAGGCAGCAGGCTCACGATTGCCACTGAGCCCAGTGCTCTCTGCTCAAAGGCCAGCAGCCTGTGGCCTCTGCCCTGATCCTGTTTTTCAGGATCCAGAGACCCAGGTCCAGAGCCAGGACATGGTTTCAAGTGTTGGAACACAGTACTCACTGTTCACATTACTTACCAGGGTCACCAGGCCCAGCCCTCAGAGTTCCTAATGTCTGTCCCACACACCTCACCTGGCAGCCCCCACTGGCCTTGGGTTTTGGGGTGCTTAAGTCTTGGTTTCCAGGTTCTTTCTGTCTCAAACATAGACTCTTTTTTTTTTTTTTTTTTTTTTGTTCACGGGATTGAACGTCGGTCCTGCTTTTCTGG